AAGGATTCAGATCTAGATCTGCTTAAAGACTCAAGCACCCAATCTCTTTCCACCCTCACTCCCCCTACCCCCAGGTGCTTTGAAGGGCACAAGGAGCTACTGAGAAGCAGACAGAAAGGAGAACACTGGACAAAGAACTTCAAGTAAATGGCCTGGGGAGAAGGCCATGCCAGGCTTGTCTCTATATGGTCAAGAGGAAAGAAGAGGAATCTAGAATACCTGGGAGGAGCTTTAAAAAGTATGTTTTGTTTGCTCTGACTTATCACATAGCCCAGTGTGCTTGAGAGGGTTAACTTAGCAGGCTTAGGTTGCCCCAACTCTGCACATTCCAGGCGAAGACCTGGTCTTTGGCTCCAGGGAGATCATCTCTAAATTCTTGGAATATCTCGCCCTATAAGAATGCAATCATTTACCTGGCTTCCTTGGGTTGTGCTAGATGGTTCATGCTGTGATTTATGGTGGAGACTTTGGCCATGGGGTATCATTTTGACCTCCAGCAGGGCTGGAGACTGAGTAACTAAGTTTAGCCTCATGGACATTCTGTGCCAGCCTGACTGACCCCCTCCCCCACAAACGCCTGGACACCAAAGCTAGGTGAGTTTCTTATGTATTGTCACACAGCGTTGCTGGAAGAATTAAGTGCTGCCTATACAAATCCACTGGAGGGTACAACTGGATGCTTGTGTCTGGTCTCTCCTGAACTCTGCCCCATGTACCTTTTATCTTTGCTAGTTTTAATCTATATCTTTTCAGTGTTATAAACCATAATCCTGAGTATAGCAGCTCTTCTGAGTTCTATCAGTCCTTCAAGTAAATCATTGAATCTGAGCGTGGTCTTGGGTTTCCCCAATACATTTAAAGAAGAAACTAAATCCATACTGGTCTTCTTATAGAATGCCCAGCGATGTACATGTCTTTTTCACAGATGCTGCTAGCCATCACACTAATCACGGTCATGATTTATGTCACACAGAATTGATCACACTTCAGACCTACTACACAGAATGAATTCCCTAGGTCCCTGCAGCAATAGACTTCTCATTCAGGAATCCTGTCTCTCCCTCAGACATTTCCCCTTTTTGGCTGCCCAGCATCTAGGTTTGGGAAATTGTTTACTCTGTGCATCTTGGTGGAGAAGATTGAAAGGCTCCAACCTCCTTCGATGGTTTTCCCACCTGGGGTTCGGATACCTGAAAGAAGGGACCAGAGGATTCATTCTGGTGTAGGTGGTGGAAGAGGCAGCAAATAGGCAGACCAATATCCAGAGTCCAGCTGTGGCATCTGCAGAGTCCAGGCTGGACTGGGATGTGATTCTGGCTGCTCGACTGATCTTGTCTTCCTGCCTGCCCTACAGCTTCCAGCTACCCATCTCATCAGTAAATTACTTTCCTACTTACATCAGACAAAACCAGTTTTTTTTTACTGAAAACTATAGATGCTGATTGAGATACACTATCCTCTAAAAACCACTTAGCTCCAGTCAACTTCCCTTCTTTCCTCTCTCCCCTACTCCCGGGGGCGGGGGGGCAGAAACTTTCAAGAGGTAGATGGGTGGAAAGGAAATGTAATTCCAAGTTTAGAGGCAAAGTTGAAGAAATGTGGGAAAAATTTCTCTCTTTACTGAGAACTAGGAGATAGGCTGATGGCTTCAAAAGTAACTAGTAATTCCAGCATCTCATAAAGTCTTTTTTAAAAAAATTATTGTCAGTAATAGGAGAAAAAGAATAATTGCTTCCCTCTTTTTCTCTTCTGAGTTCTCTTCTTTTTTCTTCTCTACCCAGCTCTCAAAGCACATACCTTTGGCCTACATATGATTGAAATGTTTGCTATCTATTTTCTTCTGGGTTTGCATTTTCAGTTGGCTATCTATGTAAGAATTGTACTCTTTTTTCCATACAAAGTCAGAGGATAAAATATTGCTCTCCATCAAACACTGCAGCTTCCACCCTTACCCCTCCACACCCCCAAGCAGACACAATTGTTTAAAACACACAACATGATCTTCTTTATTTAATTGTTTAATCAGTTTACATTCCACAACTGACAGATTATTTATTTTTTCCATGAACAAGTCATTTAATTAATTACCAGACACTTTGTTTTTCTTCAATCGATGGAAATACAATATTTCTGCCAATTCAAAAAAGAAAATTGCAAGATGCAGTCAGTTTCAGTGAAGTCCCCAAATGCTCTCTGCTTTCTCAGTCCTTTCAAAGTCACAGGAACCTGGCAATTTCCCTTTTCATTCCCCCCTCCCACTTCTCTGTTAAATTCACCTCTCAGAATATCACAAAGGTTTTAAGATCTGCTTTGAATCACCTTTCCTGTAATTAATTAATTATGAGAAGGAACAGACAGTACAATAGATCTGATAAGATGTAGCATTCTTGTTAAGATTAAACAACACAGTTATTCACATCGTATCAGAACAAATTAACATAATATTGAGTCTTATTTTAGCACCAATAACCACAGGAATTGCTACCTCTAGGGGTAGAGGCGTTGTTAGAATCCCGCAGTACACACCACTTCTTGCCTAACCAATCAGAAAGCCCTATGCAAATTAAAGGTACATAAATTTATATTGACTGAGCAATAATCGAGTGGGCCATAAACACTCCAGGTGTTTGAGAGTTTTGCCGGTGATGGTCCTTGTCTAATGACCACATATAAAACATACTCACCAAATAAGCTCATTTTCCTTTGCTCAGTAACATAGTGCCCAGAATGTTATATTTTAAGCAAATCAAAGCTTGTCATACTGGTTCTTTGAGATTTCAGAATGACCAGGGATTGGTTGTTTCATTTTATTCTGTTCTCTACACTAAGATTTTGATACTTGTCTTTATCCCAAACAAAAGAGGTTTCTTCAATCTCCAAGCAGGAAGGAGAAGTAGACATTGGTGGGCCAAGTCCCAGTACAAGGTTAGAACTTGTCATCATCACTGCTACCTCCTAGTAGACCCAGTCTGCCTATGGCCACTGTTCTTCCCAGGGTATCTCCTCTTTAGCATTTGACTTTAAGACAAAAATTAAGGGAAATTAAGTGGTTGAGAAGACAGCCCCAAATATTAGTGAGAAGATTTTAGCAGGTGACTGGACCAGATGACAAATGTTATAGAGATCTCACTCTCAACAAAGAGAAGGACTGCCTGCCTCCTCCCCAGTGTAAGAAAAAGGGTCTCTGGATACTGGGAGGAATGGTGGCTAATACTCCTGCAGCCAAAGAATGTGACCTGTTTTGATCTCTAGGACCAGGACAGGTCATCAGGGCCATGCCCAGGGGCAGAACTGACACCCTTTGGGGCAGATGGGACATATACACAGGAGTGGTCATCTCCTCTTACTAAGCAAGTGAAGCAGAACTTCCAGAGGCTGAGAGAGCAGCCTGGACATAGCTCTGTGCTTTCTAGGCCAACACAGCCTCCTGCCTCTGTCAGTTTTGACGAAAGCTATGATGAGATCTATCACACTGAGAGAACCATCGGGAGCGGCATCCCATCAGTCTCCTAATGAAGAGCCTACCTCTGTGCTGTGCTAAAGGGCAGCCAGTTGTCACTGGAAATGTGGCTGGTCCAAATTGAGATGTTTTACTAAGAGCAAAATTCACACTGAATTGCAAAGACTTCATTTGAAAAAAATAATGAACATAAAATATCTCAGTGATTGTTTATATTAATTCTATGTTGAGGTGATAATATTTTTGATATGTTGAGTCAAAATGTAGTATGAAAATTAATCTCATCTGTTTCTTTGGACTTTTAAAAATGGGGCTACTAGGGTATTTTAAATTGCATATGTGGCTTGCATCATGTTTCCACTGGATGGTGCTGGTCTAAATTACCTTCCCGAAGTTGGTCCTGCAGATTATCACTGTGGACCATTAGAGGAGAGGAAAGTTTGGACTGAAGGTGCCTATAGCCACAGAGTGGAGGAGGGGATTGAATCACTGGCTAAGCTTGGTGTGCCTCCGCTTTCTGGGGTAGCCAGTCTTGTCCATCCTGGAGAGAGACAGCTCTTTGTGCTGTAGGACTCCCCATTCTCCGTTCCTCTTTCTCACTTCCTTTCACTTCAGAATGACTGCTTTAGGAATCCTTCTCTGCTTCCACGCTGAAGATTCTCTGGGGATTCTGCCATTTCTCCTCCTAAAAGCTCCCTTATCCCTATCTCCACTTCCAGCCACATCTGCCCACTACCTTCACCCCTCCAACACCACTGCTGTCTTTCTAATTTGGTAGTATCTCTTGGCCAGACTCCCTGCTTCTGACACTCTAAGCCACATTTGTATGGTGAGTAATAGATTACAAAGTAATTCACATACACCATCTCCTTCGAAGCTCTTTCTCCTACCCGAGTCCAGTGCAGCAAAGCTCTGTCAATATAGAGATAGTAAAATGACATCATCAAAGTGGGTGGGAAAAGGCATCTGAGAATGAAAAGGTAGATAGAAGGCTCTGGATTTTGAGCGCCAACTGGCTGTAAGCTTGAGGTTACCTTCTGAGGACTGAAAGTTGGGCCAGGAGTAGCAGGGAGAAAAACTCTCTTAATTATCTCCATGCAGTAAACAAATAACAGCATGGGCTCAAAGTCTCTCTAAAAATAGCAGCAGAATAGACAAGGAGACTTGGCACCCCAGGAGCTCTGGAAAACCCCCTGCTCCTCATTTGGCTGAGAGGATGTGTAGACGTGGTGAGGTAACAAGACTCACCTGAGGCCCCGAGTGAGCCAATGACATAGCTACTCATGCCCCCCTACAGTAAGTCTTTGTGTTGACCTTTGCCATGATCTTTACCCTCTAGACTTTGATGATTTGATTTTTGGGAAATATATTTTACTTTAAAGGCAAAAATCTTTAAAAACAGAGTTCTAAGCAGACACGAGTGACTGTGAGAGAAACAACCAGAAAAAAACTCCTGTGCCAATGGTTTTCTTCCCTTCAAATCCCACCTAGAGTTAGGATTTTAAGGGCAGTCCACATAAATCCTCAGAAAACTGAGGGCTACATCATTACATTTGTTTAGTCTCAGTATCCTTTCCCTTTATTTTCAGCTTCCACTTTTATTTATACATTTTTACAGATAGTCTTGAATAGCAAAACAGTCACACCATGGGTAGAAATGGGGAAGGAGTATGAGAATGAAGCCATGAAAGCTCTTTACATGAAAGGCATTATCACGCTCAAAACACAGACACACTGGAACATACAGACTGGCAAGTGTCTATGGACGATCCAGAAAGAAAAGGAAAAGCTTAGCTAATGAGAGAAATGGGGTTCAGGAGAGGAGAGAGGGACACGGGGTTCCTCAAGGAGCAATGCCCAGTCCTTGAGAATGAAGAGTAGGAGTTGCAGTTGCTGAGGTTGGTTTTTGTCAACGGGATGCCAGCTTTGAACTACTGCTGTGCAACTCCCATGCTTAGAAACAGTTTTCTGTTTCTCACAACTGAATAAATGCCACCCACCTACAGTTGAGTGGTTCTCCATTACTGGTTGGGCTCTAATGACTTGGACTTCCCTTGGAGAAAGTCTCACCCTAATATTGAAACTTGATCCACTGCAAAGCAGAAAATGTAGAGACCCTTTGGGAATACATTACTTTCTTGTTTAGAATCTAGGATTCTGTTTTTCCCAAGCAGGGTCACACCCAGAACATGTCTTAATGAACATACCACACAAAGGACTTCCTATAACAACCCATAAGCTTTTGGTGAAGCCAATGGCTTCACCAACTGACAAAAGAAAGATCCTAGCCCCTTGAAAGATGTTCTTATCTTTAACTTGAAAAATCATTAACACCTTTCAGAACCTAATTTGTTCCCAATTGGGAATGTACAGCTAAAAAATTAAGAGAAGAATTATTAAAAAAAAAAAAAAAGGAAGTGGGAGGGTATTAACCATGTGCCTTGGTTAATAGTTAACAGTTTTAGCTCATATATGCTATTTGCCCCCATGTGGTTTACCCATTTTATCACTTCTAGGAATAATCAAGATGGATACAAGCGCATTTGCAAAATTGGCTTTGGACAAAAAGAAGGAAGTCTGGGAGCGGGATAAGTAAGTTAAGGAGCCAGTTTCTCTGGCGGACCTGCATGAAGAATAGAATCCCTTAAGTGTGCTTAAGTTGGATAGGTGTGGTCCTGCTCAGCAACCAAGATGACCTCTCCCTTTAGATTATCCTTTTAGCAGTGAGGCACAGAAACTCGATGGGAGGATTCCATTCCAGCAGGGGCTCTGCTGGGGCAGGATCATTTGAATAGTGCATAATTCACATGACACTTTGCATTTGCAAATCACTTTGCAATTTCTTTGTCACTCTTAATATACCATGAGGTAAGTATTATCACTATCCTCATTTTGTAAATGAGGAAGTTCAAGTATGGAGAAGACACAGTGCCCAGAGTCACAAATCATCTTAGAGCAGAGCTGAAATAAAATTTACAGTAACTGCATTGTACAAGTATAGCTTAATGAGTGAGTTACTCTGGCTTCAGTGCTCTTACACCTATGAATAGATTGAGATGGCACCTAAAAAAAGAAGAAACAGAACAGAGAAAGAAAGAAGTAACTAAATTAAGAAAAGAAGGAAGGAAGGCAACTAGGATATTTAAAATTGCATATGTGGCTTGCATCATATTTCCACTGGATGGTGCTGGTCTAAATTACCTTCCTGAAACTGGTCCTATGAATTATCACTGTGGACTATCAGAAGAGAGGAAAGTTTGAATTGAAGGTGCCTATAAACATGGAATGGAGGAGGAAGAAAGGAGAAAAGGAGAGGGGGAGAGAGCGAGAGCAAGAAAGAGAAAGACACACAGAGAGAGAACATGAACCAAGAACCAGACAGCCCCAGATAGGAATCTTGCCCTATTCCACATGCCCCGAAGCTCTGGCACTGAGATTTTAGGCCTCTTTGCTAGCTTTGGGGGCTCAGAGCTCCTGCTGCCAGGAACTATCAATTCAATGCAGACCACACTGGTCTTGTGGCTGTGCACTGCCCATCTGGCCCCTGCTGCCAACCCAGAGACAACCACTCACTGGGCAAGTTTTGGGCTTATGGCCATTAAAATTGGGCACACTGTAGAGGCCTCAGAGTGATAGAATTATGAGCAATCTTTTAGTCTTTTTTGTATTTTATTTTTCTAATTTTATACAATGAGCAAGTATTATTCAGGGGGAAAAAATCCAATAGCTAATAATAACATATTCTGAGAACTAGAAATAATGTTTAAGAAGCATTTTGCACCATGGCAGCATCAATAGAAAGATGGCAAAGCCCCAGAAATTGAGTGCTTTGAGAGACCCCCAGAATCATTTGTATACATCAGTTCTGGTAGGAGTGTTTTAAAATCTGTCCCCTTACTCTACGCATACCAGCTGGAAGATGGCACAGAGGCAACCTGACTGGTATGCACCAATTATTTCTATTTGTGGTGAAACCACCTCTTACTCTGCCTCATCATATTTCCCTGGACAGGGCTGGATATGTTCACTGGGATGGTCAGTTCCTGGAGCAGAGGGAACATTTTCAGAAATACAGCTTCATTCTAACTAAAAGAACCTAGTATCCCACACAAACCACATCAAAGGATGACCAGAGTATATTTCTTCCCACTCTTCTCCCCAGATACTTGAAAATCAGTTAATTAAGACTCTCAGCATAAGCCAGGTGAAGATGGAGTCCATTCTAAATGCCTCTGGGTGATGTACTTGGGTTCATTTTTCTGAATTTGACTCAGGTGGGCAGCTTTGGCAACCTAAGCAGCACATCCTCCCACTAAATCAGGACAGCTACCCATGGTGTTTTTGTTCCAGGCCTCTTAAATCATGAGTGTGGGTGAATATTGAGATATATGGCCCAGTCTCAGAGTCTCAGGATAGCCTCTCCTCTTATCACAGGAAGGGTAAGCATTGCTAGGTGGAACCACTAACCCACCATGGCACAATATGCCAAAGGGCACCTGCGCCCAGGGTGATCAAGGAAGGTTTTGTCTTGATTTGGAGGATTTGTCCAGTCTTTGTGATTCCATGGTCCCTGAAGTTAAAAGTGTAGCACTGTTGAAAGGTTATGGCTGGTAGGAGGGTTGAAGCTGGAACAGGCACAGATGTTTATTTTTCCATTTTCATGCCAGGGAGCTACAGACCTCCTTATGAAACCTACAGCCAAAGCAAATAAGGAACAGAGCTGCTTGGAGTTGACAAGCCTTTGTAGAGAGAAATTGCTGAACTATTTTAAGTGACCAAATGATGTAGAAGGAAAGTAGGAGTGAGTGGAGAGAGAGGAAAAAGAACACAACTCCCCAAATCAGAAAAGAAAGACACAGACCCCTTTCCAGGCAGACATCCCACTTTCCCGAATCCCCAGTCTAGTAGGGTAGGGAAGGAAATGAAAGTTGAAATGGGGCCCATGCTTGACACTGACTCTCATGAAGCTCAAGGCACATATATGTTCATATATCTATAAAGAATTTGAACTTGACCCAGGGTTGGGACTGGGGTTTTTAGTGAGGCCACTGACTTTAAATCCTTTCAAAAAGATTGGACTCTACTTTGATTTGGAGTCAGAAGAATCTGACTTTACAGATGCTCGCAAGTTGAAGTTCCCCTGTTCCTTCTCCTTCTTATCTTCCTCAGTCAGCCTGCAGCCAGAAAGCTTCAGTAAGTACATAATCACATGTTTTAATCTATGTTCAAGCCCTTATGCTGGAGGAATCGAGGTCACCTGGGAAGTTCTCCCACCCATTGGCCAGGACTTGTCATCCGTGCAGGATGAGGCTGAGTATGTTTTTGCTCTCAAGCAGGATTAGACCTCAGAATGTGTGTATCTGTACCTATCTGGCCCCACTACCAAGAAAGCCACTCTTAAGCCCCTGCTGAGCTGAGGGTGAGTTGAACCACAGTGGCTTACATCTTTCCTTGGAGTCTTCCTAACATTTCAGGGATGCTCGAGTTTTCAAAGGGATGCAGTAAGCTTTAAGTTCTGTCACAAAGATAAGTAAATGGATAGCGCAGATAGTCTATTTATGGAAAGTATGCGATATTTTTAAAGCAGTTAATAATGATAGGTCTTTGAGCCAGTATCCTTGAACATGGTTACTTATGAAAAGTTTAAATGGTTGATAGCAAACTGACCAATTTAGAATCCCTCCCACACTTTCCTGCAACTTGAAAATGCTGAAATTTAGGTCTGGTCATAGACAAGGCCTCTGCTCCAAATGGATGCTTGTGGACACCTGCCTGTCCCTGTCTTGACAGAGCCCATTCAAGACACTTGGAAGGAAGACACAAGGCCTCTCAATCTGAGATACTTTTTTTTCACTTTTCCTTAAGCCCAAGTATGCCCTTCCCCTTAAGGGAAAAATCTAACGTTTCAAAAATTAAAAATAAAACTCCCAATTGAAAAACTGGGTTTTTCCTGAAAAGTATTTTCCTTCTCATAGAATAAATCTTGTGTTTTAAAAATAACCCTTAGAACCTCAATTGGAAGCTTACAGCATTTCCTATTGTCTACCTTACCCCATCTCCCAGCACACCTATACACCTGATGCTCACACAAGAGATCTTATGCAGAAGCTGACCAGTGTCCCTGGCAAGGAAGTCTTGAGTAGTGCATCACACCTGTGTGCAGGTACATATTGACACAAACATACACAAAATGCACCAGAGAGATACACACATACAGAGACCCACATTCACGCCCACTCGTGCACATCAGATGTCACATCAAACATCACAGCATATCCAGATAGGAACTGCACACACGGTCAAAAGAGCAGATGAGGGTGACAGATAGAAGATGAGTGGTCACCAAGCAAGAAAAGGCAGAAATTGCTAGGAGGACAGGTTGGAAGACAGGTGAATGAAACGGCACACGGCGGTGGAAGAAAGGTTGCTAAGTAGTTGGCAACACTCCCATAGCGTATTTGTTTAGGAAATAACAGCATTCTCTGCTACGTGGCTGACCATGGCTACACTGGCTCAGGGATTCTCACCTTGCCTCCCCAGGGTGGCTCAGCACCGGCTGGGTCACTGCAGTGACCGTAAGCCACTCCTGTCCACTCTGGTGCACTCCCTCCCCCACAGAGTTTACAACTCTGGCTGAGTTCACTCTCTGACACCGGCAGTTCCAATTTGCTCAAATGAGCCCAAGACACTGGGGTGGATTTATTCCACCTCTTCTTGGGTGCTAGCCACTGAGACAGCTTTTTTGGGATTCATGGCCTTGAATATCAAGTGGAAAAGGAAGAGGTTGGAAAGAGTCAGGAGTTCTCCATAAATTTACACAATATCATACAAACTTGAGCCCATGGGAAATGGAGGTACTTTCTCTGCATGTAACCCATTTCCTTTCATTTGTACAGAGGTTCCCCCCAGGAAAAGGGCAGATGTCCAGTGACAAAGGACAGTTTCCAAGACGGAGAGTGAAGGTCTTGTTTGGTATATGCACTTGTACAATAGCAACCAGAGGCAACATTCCTTCTCCCTCCTGAACCATGTGTTCTCCCTCTTCCTCATGGCTTCTGTGCCCAGTTGTGTTTTGAACTTCCAAAATTAGAGGACTAAATCCTGCAGTGTCCCAGAACTGTAATGTGAAGAACCACAGGGTCCTCTGGCCCAGTAGCTTTGTTCTTGGTTCTGCCCTCTGGGAATTTCAGCTGTACCAAAAATAATAATTAAAAAAATACAACACAAACAATAAAACCCCACACTCAGAAAACATACACCACATGCGCACGTGCACACAAACACACTCACACACACTCCAGGGATCTCTAGCTGCAGAATTGGCACCCACATAGGCCTGCCCCTCATGACTCTTTTCAGGTCTCTGGGCTTCATCTGGGACCATGAAATCACTACAGTGATAGAGAGACAACAGTCATAATGCAATATTTTCATTTAAAAGTTGGAAACTAAAAAAAAGAAACCACTCAAAGTATACACACACACACACACACACACACACACACACACACAAACACACATCACAGCATTACTCCAAGGCTCCAGTCTGCCCAGGGAGTGCAGGTGCGGCTAGGGACAGGGCGGCCTCTTGTTTCACTGGGTGTAAGGCAGCTGGAAGGTAAAACTGGGTTTTCTGAGCATCCACTGAAGTGTCCTTTCATTGATGCGGATCTTGCCTCTCAGCGTGTTCTCTCCCCTTCCCACCTCTGAAACTTTGTCCAAAAATTTGGCAGCAAAGAGAAAACTTCCTTCTCAGTTTGTTTTCTCTTCCACTCCTTGTGTGTTGCTGGTGGGCCAGGAAGAAAGTCAGAACAGGAAGAGCAGGAGAAGAAATGATTCTGAAAATGGCCTCAACGATTTGGTTACATTCTATGAACTAAGAGCTTTGTTTCCTTGTGATATGACTGGTGGGGGGTGACGTCCTCTCCTGCTGGCCCAGTGGGTGGCACTTCCTCCTCTACATCTTGCTGCCTCAGGCCACTGCCACTGTCCCTTCACCACCCTGTCCTCACGAGTGATGGGAATCAAGACGCTATCGCAAGTGGTGATGTTCACTCTGTCTCCAAGAGACCATGAAGCCAAAAGTCAAGAAGTGATGGAAGAGCCACAGGATGGGAACACGTCCCCCATCTTGGAGATGAGGCAACACAAAGTCCGGCGAGATGCAGGTGCCTGAGACAACTCAACTCTACCTTGGCACTGGCATCATCTTGATTGAGTTTTGTTTTATATATGTATATTATATATATATTTATATATATATATATGTGTGTGTGTGTGTATGGGTTTGTTTTTTAGCACACTGTCCCATTCTCGGGTCTGGATTTAGGGCAGTTGGTCCTCGGGACAGGTTGGACAGAGGGGGCCAAGGTACAGAAGAATCCCGAGATTAGTGTGAGGCCCAGGCCCCCCCACGCACAGAACATGGACCATCCGTAGCCGTGGCTAATGTCATCAGGGAGTCCATACAGGTAGCGTGGGTAGCGTGACAGCTCAAAGTTGATCCCGGCCACACAGGTGCACAGTGAGATGATGCAGAAGGTTCCTGGAGGGCAAGGTGAAAAATATGGGGAAGGGTAATGGAGAAGGAAAGGGAAGTGGAGAGAGAGAGAGAGAGAAGTTAGAATTATTATATTTTCAATTTTCTTGAGTAGGCAAAAGCAGAAGATACAGGTAAGAGCAGATTATTACCAAAGTCAATATCTGGAAATATTCATGGGGAGGAGAAGAGTATTAAGGGATCATCACTTCCTTATTCTCCAGTAATTGCCAAATCTTGGACAACCTTGGGAAGACTTTCCTTTGGGAAAACACTAAATAGATATCTCATAGGTGTTTTTTGTAGGGTGGAGTGAGGCAGAAGGGCACTCAGTTCTTTTTCCTAAAGTATTTTTAATTCACCATTTTTCTTTGGAGATACAGAAAGCATCTCCCATCTGCTATTTCTTTAAAGAGAAAAGCATGTTTTTTCTTTCCTATACACAGCATTTTATACAATATTTGACTTTCCTTTCATTTGTTCACCAGCCACTCTTTCATATCCTGAAAACTCTTTCCTCTTCCCTGTAAGACATTTCCCAAAGTGTTCTCTGTGAAACACTAATGCTATGAGATATTCTTTTCAATGCAGAGTCAAAACACTGGACACCCTGCACATGACTTCTCACCCATGAAGACCCATAATCCACGTTAATACAAGTCAGCTTGCCTAACCTAGTTTTATGAAGTATTTCATAGACTTATTGGGTGATGAGAACTCCTCTTAAAAACATTACTCTTATTAACCTCCAATGAGAAGACTGCTGTAAGAGGTAGAATGTTATAAAATGGTTTAGAATTATAAACCCATTTTAAACCAACACAACACGTATTTGGTGGATCTAGGATGAATTCAAAGTTTTCCTCCATATTTGCTGTGTCTTATGGTTCTCACATAACCACTGACATGAGGTCTATGACCAGAATAAATATGTCTCGTTTGGGAAGGCTTTCACTGAGTTGGAGCAATGAAAGAAAGAAGGAGGAGAGGCATATTTCTTAAGTGGAGGGAACCAGAGGAGGTTTTATATCTATTATACATACAACAACAACAACAAAAACCTCTTGCTGTTTAATAACCAAGTTCCTTTAAGATTCAGTCCTATTTCTTCCAGACGTTTCCTGGAGGACAAGGGAAAAAATATGAAGTAGAATAATGAGACTTATGAGCTTGTGATAATTTAAATGGCCACAGTAGCAGCAGTTGAACCTAACATGTATTAAGGGTTATGTGCTGGGAACTGGTAAGCGCGTAACACATATTGAACATTTAATTCTTAAGACAACTCTGTGAGGTAGTTAGATGATTATCCCCATTTTACTGATAAGGACAATGAGGCCCAGAGAAGTTAAGTCATTTGCCTAAGATCACATAGCTAGTAACTGGTGGAGCAAGGCTACAAATTCGGATGAGCTAGTTCCAAAGCTTGCTGTCTTATCCACTACATTACTGACGACTGGGTCAAGCAAGGTGGGTTTATTCATGGACTTCCCCTGTTGTACACCTAGGTTCCAGCTGAATTGTCTATTTCTCAGTGAGAGTTAGGGCAGTTTGCAGTCTTGGAGGACTGGTTAGAGTCCTGAGCCCCACCCCAATAGTTTCTGCTTCCATAGGTCTAAGTGGAGGCTGAGAATTTGTGTTCTTATGTTTTTAGGTGATGTTGATACTACTGGCCTGGAGACCATACTTTGGAACCAGGGGGTTAGAAAAAAAGTTTTTATTAGAGAAACCTGAAACTTAAAAGGCCAAAGTTCAGGTCACAGAGGAAGAAATAAAAATTGGGCAATGAACGTGAAAAACGCCCAATTTTACCAATAATCAGAATTGAAAATTAAAAGCACAGTGACATAGTATAATCTATCAAATTAGAAAAGTTTTATTTTGTTTTTCTCTGTTGCTTTCTTTTTCTAATGATCATCTCCATCTTTCAAACTAGCAAGGGAACAGTAATGTGGACCACCCCGCAGACTCTAGTGGAAGCGTAAGCTGATGTTTCCTTATAGAAAACTGATTTTTTTTTTGAGTTGGAGTCCCACTCTGTTGCCCAGGCTGGAGTGTAGTGACACGCTCATGGCCACCGCAGCCTCAGATCTACTGGGTTCAGGCAATCCATCAGCCTCATCCTTACAGTAGCTGGAACTACAAACGCATGCCACCATGCCTGGCTAATCTTCTGATTTATCGTAGAGACGCGGTCTTGCTGTGTTGCTCAGGCTGGTCTTGAACTCCTGAGTTCAGGCAATCCTCTCGCCTCTGCTTCCCAAAGTGCTGGGATTACAGATGTGAGCCACTGCACCTGGCCAGAAAAGTGATCTTTAAAATATTCATACGTTGACCTACAAATTTCATTTTAGGTTAAGAAAATAATCCCACCTGGGGACAGCGTGTGTGTGTGTGTGTGTGTGTGTATGCATGCGCATGCAGAGATGGTCTTGCTATGTTGTCCAGGCTGGTCTTGAACTCCTGGCTTCAAGCAATCCCTCCACCTCGGCCTCCCAAAGTGCTAGAGTTATGGGCAAGAGTCATTGTACCCAATCAGGAATAAAAATTTAGATATGAAAATGTTCCTATAGTAAGGGTGTATTGAGGAATGGCTGTCGGAGAAGTCAAAGTGAGCCCCAGATATCAGGGTGAGCACAATTTTTAGAGCTAAGAAGTTCTAAGCACTTTGATGACTGCAACCTGCATTTTCTGGGACCACTAAGTCAGAAGTGTACAAGAGAGCCCAAAGGTTGGGGGACCAGTTAGGAGGCTGCTGTGGTCTTCAGGGAAAGGGAAGGATGATCTGAAAGGTGGTAGCAGAGCCAGGGGCTCCTGACGGCTTAGTGGATGATTATTTAGTCAATGACTGTTTCTTGGGACAACTGAAAACAGTGAGTTGAGGGTGACCTGGGTACAGTGACAGTATGACTGAAATGCATTGTGTGTGCTGTGTGTATATGTGTGTGTGTATTTGTGTTTGTGCATGTCTGTGTATATATATGTGTGTGTAGAAACAGCAACAGTGTTACTATACAACTGGCACCATCATTGCCTATGAAACAGTGGTCCTAAGCTTGTGGAAGTTAGGAAGCATCCCAGTTCCCCCATGTTGAGCTCTAATGCTCAGACTGAATTATCTGATGGAACCCAGGGTGGGTAAGTCCTCAGCCTAGATATCCTGCATCAGAAGCTCTCGGAGAGGAGTGTGGGAATCTTGAGTTTTCAAAAGTTGCTCAGATGACTTCTGCTGGTCAGCCTGTTTGAACCCTTGTGCCAGGGCAGAGGTGCTTTATAGCATCTGGAGACGTGATTCCAGGTGGGAAGAAACAAGGGCAGGAGAGAGGAAGGAGGCAGCCTGCAGGGTGCAGCCAAGAGCAATGGCCTGGGGTGGGAGAGCAAAAGAAGGCTGTCTTGTTTGACATTAGTTTCAAATAATTCAGGGTCCAACAAATGCAAGCTGGCCTGCTCATGCCTCACCTACTGTGGGTATGCTTCAATTGCTGGTTTGGAAACCTATCATTGGATGTGCAATGGTATAATTTACTAAAATTTAGATTTAGGACAGAGAATGGGTGGGAGCAGTGGTGTGGGTTCAAGTTCAAGCTGCCCTTGGGATATTCAAGACACTAGGATACATGGATCTGAAGCCTGGTAGAAAGATCTGAGCCAGAAATGTGTTCTGAGTCATCATCTCATAAACTGAAGCTCTGGATGGGATTGAGGTCACTCAAGGACTTTATATAAACGGCTTCTACATAGGATACTTTAAAAAACAGAGACATTTCTTCTCATCAGAAGTTGTGCTATCCTCCTGTTGAAGTCTAGGGATTTGTTCTGGGAGAGAAGGTCAACCTCAAGGAAGCTATGGTCTTCCCAAAAGGTCAGCAGCTGACCAAGATGGAGATACAATTCTCATAGCATATTCCACAGCAGGGTGGGCAAGACATAAGACATGAAGAGATAAAGTCCACATGGACCTAATTACCCAGTGAAAAGGACCCAACTTCTTCCTAGATTCCATCTTGTTATGTTATGCTAATGGCATTCATAGGGGGATCTTCCTGCCTTTGCTTCCTATTAGTTGTTCTGTGACACTGGAAGCTTTTAAAAACTTCTTCTCTGTGTTAGCTCCTGTCAATATTCCTATAGATAAGAAAACACTTTTATGGCTCTCACTTGAGCTAGCCCTTTAAGCAGGCCACCCATGCACCTCACTAGGACATTCTGCATGACATACACTACTGTTTTGTGTTCTGAGCAAGGATCGGTGCTTTTATGTACTTCTCCCCATCGAAATTTAAGTTAGAAAATGTGTGTTAATAGTTAGAAATAGGCAGATGCCGGCACATAGTAGATCCTTGATAAATGAACTGAATAGATGATGTGTTGCCACTGTTCCTCAGGACCATATTCTGACTGTTTGAATAACGATGTGCTTTGACAAACACTGATTGAGTCCTGGGGAGTGGGGTACAAAGGAGAGCCAGATGGGCAGGGACCCTGCGTGACACAGCCTTCTGTCTGGTGTGATGAACACAATTTTCTGTATGGGGTGCAGAATTCCCCTCATCCCCACTGACTCGCTGAGTCTAGAGGGGTCCTCTGAGAAACTAAATACAGATTTTAAATGGCTCTGCTGGAAAAGACGTCTCAATTAAAAGACAGCGATCGACCAGACAGCACAGGGAATCACAGCCTCCTCCATTTAACCAAAGTTCAGCAGTCCCTTGTGCAAGTGGCATAGGGCTAGGGAGAGCTATAAAACACACAGGGGACTTCTGCTCAGAAAAGAGTCCACATGAAGTCCAATCTAAGGGAAAGATGGTATCCTCCTCTTCCCTGCAGCAGGCCATGGCCTCTAAGGCTAGGTCTCTAGGAGATGCCATTTTATTTCTCATGAGCACTTATTGCCAGATAAGTGAGGCTCCAAAAAAGGCAATAAATAGTGAAAACGCAATCATATTGCCTTAGCAACACCCCCCATGCGTTGGGATTTGGGCCCAATGCCAACCAGTCTATAATAC